ATTTTAAAGAGATCCACATTCTTTAAATGTTAGTAACCATTGCTGTAAGATATAGAAAATTAAATCTTTTCTTTAGTGCTCTTAAACTTGTAATAAAATCAGCCCCCTCATAAAACTGGTTATTACTTGTTCTTATTCTATTTTTAAACATGGTTTCCTGATAAGAGATCTTGTCTTGTTAATAAAATGTTATTGCCAGCATTTTTACTTGAAAACTTTAAGGATCATGTACTGGAGTCTCAAATCAGAAAATAGCAAAATAAAAAAAAAAACAGACAAAATGAAAGGAAATGAGACTAACGTTCTTCACACTATGGAGAACACAGGGTTAAAAAACTCTATACTGTAGATGAAATTACAGTAAGAATTTTGCCAGTGTTGAGCAAGTCTTGAGAAATATTTATTGGAGAAGACGGGGTGAGGGGGACATTGGGGCAAGGTGACAGCTAGTGGCTTGCTCCAGTGTCTTACTGTGGAAGCCTCTGCCACTTCCTCTTTATCTCATCTAGTGTACATTTAGACCCTGGCCCAGCCAAATGTAAAGACGCTGAGTCCTCAGTGGTTTCATTATTTGCCATGTCTGCAATACTTTTATTTATTTGAACTTTCTATCTAAAAGGCACAGCTTGTAACATGATTATAGTGTTACTTGAATACACTGAGGCAGTAGAGGTCTGGTGGTAAAGACTTAAAAAGTCTTTGGTGTGAAAGCCACAACATTCCAAGAGCATTTTCCCATTGCATAGACCTGTTTGTTCTTATAATATAACACCAGGATATTTAGGCAGTGGTTCTGGGAATGGAAGAAAAGCCAGACCTTTCTGCTTTTTTCATACCACTGACACAATCAAATAACATCATGTAATTATTATGGACTTCTGAGATTGTTCAGCACTTAGCGATACACACACACACACACACACACACACACACACACAAACACGATCATCTCTCTCCCGAATATCTGATGAGCCATTTTGCTGCCAGCAGCACTGGGCTTCCTGCAGTAAGATCAATCATACCTTTCTCCAAGTGTTCTCTAAGAGATGAGCAAAGGCAATTACCCAGAAACAAAGCATAATACTCCAGAGTAAACCTGCTGACACCCAGCCTGGGTGGGAAAGTCAACTGAACATTTTATTTAATAAAAGGTGCTTTACATATCATTTGGGATTACTCATTTTTTAAGTAAAATGCATTTGATTAAAACTCTAATCAACATAGTTTAATCTTTCTCAGATGATTCCGAGGAACTTCGAGTCCTCCGCTGCTTCTGAATCATCTGGGAACATCAGTTGTCTTTATAGTGTACGATACAGTAGACTGGTTACTACCAGCATCTGCTGAAGTTTCACAGAAAGAACAAATGGACTGTTATGCTTTTATTACAACCCAGTGGGTGGTTAGGTATGATTTTTACTAGTCAGCAGCACTTCAAATACATTTAAATCTGGTGTGTGAAAAGTTAGAATGTTAACACTTGGTCTTTAACTGAAGCCTAAAGCAGAGTTGTTGTGCTATCATGTGGATGTATTAAGGATGTGGTGTTCTCATCTGTCTTTTGGGATAAATTCTTGTTATGGTGAAATTAGCACTCATACGTTGTTGATGTTACATACCTTTCTGGAGGGCAATTTGTCAATGTGTAGCAAGAGCCTTTAAATGAGCACATCTTAAACTCAGGAATTCTAACTTTTGAGAATTTTTCCTAGATAAGTAATTGAACAAGTGGTAAAAGTATATCTATAGTGATGTCCTTTACAGCATTGTTTATAAGAACATAAATTTGGAAAAATCTTAACTGCCCATCAGTAGAAGTCTGGTTAAATAGATTATAGTACATCCATATACATACATCCACTATGTACATCTAGTCATAGAATACTGTGTTGCTGTTGGAAATTATATTTTGTTAATGTGTTAAAATAGTCATAAATAAGGTAAATTAAAGAAGCTGTTTCTAAAGTAGTATATATAACATGATCCCACTTTGTTAAAAATTAAAATATCTATGCATGCAAAGGAAAAGTTCTGGTAGAATACGTTGAATGTTAATCATGTTCATATCTGAGTAGTGGATTAGGGAACTGACTTTTACTTTCTCTTTTGTACAGTTTTTAATGTCTGGTTTAAGAAAATAATAAGTGCATGTTACTTTTAGAACCAGAAAAAATTTAAGAACTAAGGTTTTTCCATTTTGAAAGAAAAGTCATAAACCTCTGGTAGTAGTAAGGGTAGTTGCCGTGGGAGAGGCCCGAAAGCTAAGCAACCGCTGTATGCTCTGCCCTCTGAGGACTAAAGTAGGGAGGCTCACATTGGAAGAATTTCTACACATATCAAGTCATTTGGCATGGGCACAATTTCACTTACAAAGTCAACTGATATGTTATTGAGCCAGCAGCCGGGCACATTCTGATTCAAAATGCCATGAAAACATTTTGGCTCCTTTTTTGTTTTTAACTATGAAAACAATTTTAACATGTTTCTTTATTAGTAGCAATAAAAGGTCCTCAAAAATCTAGCTCTGGCAACTGTGTATCCTAGGTAAGAGTCTACCGATGCAAAGTGATGATAAATTTTAAGTAGTATGAAGCAAGAAGAGTTAGCAGAGACGGGGGCAGTGATCTGAATGTGGAAGGCCACACCTCCGCTGAGAAACCTAAGATGAAGGACGACTGAGCGTGACCTGGCTGAGACAGATGGCATATCTAGGTCGTGTCAGAACTAAAAGCCAACAGCATCCACCATGAAGCACATTGGGTGGGTGGGAGGAGGGAGAGGAACACCTCTGAGATGTTCAAGTATAGTGGGAAATTAAGGGCTTCAAATGAGATTCCATCTAGGAGCAGAGAGGGTTTGGTTGTTGCCACAGGGTGTCCCATATGGAGCTTTTATGTGTCTTTTGCTTGTCTTGGAAAAGCAAGGCCCCAAGTAATAGCCAAGACCTCATGGCCGATCCAGAGACGTAGAAGGGCAAATTAAGACTTTCTGTTTGATTAGCTTGGGAAGCAGTCATTAAGGACTCATTCTCCCTGCTGTGGTTAAAGCTGTCTACTGAGAAATAAGCCAAAGGAATATGAGGCCAAGAATCTGAAGACTGAAGCCAAACCACTGAGAAGGGCTTTCAACTGCAAACTACAATGTGATTGAATTAGAAAGGAACATTCAAATCATGTCATGCTGTCACCTCAAATTCAACAAGTCTAAAATTGAACTCATCTTTCCTCACAAAGCAGCTCCTCCACTGCACTTTCCTAATAACAACAAAATACTACACTGTAGTATGCCTTACCACAGTACACCCATGATTTCATTTGATTGTCACCCACTTACAGACAAGGCAGTTTAATGCAGGTTAATCAAAGGGCTGCAAACTGGGGAGAGACCAGTTCTAGAAACTCGGTTTTCTGAGTATTAACCTAGTTATCCTTTAACTATATCACACTGCCCTTCTCTCTGTATTTGTGGAAATAAAACAGTCAGCTTTATAGAATTACTAAGTGACAGTTTATTTATATTGGCACTTGAATATTGCACACTAGCACATTTTAGCAAGTATGAAGTCAGAGTTTCTTAAGTAGCAAAGAACAAACCAACCAACCTTCAGAACTGTTCATCTTGTTTTTGTAAAGGTCAAAAACATTCATAGCATTTGTATTATTGAAGTCAAAAGATAGGTAAAGTAAAGTACTGGATCTAAAAATACCTAGTTTGTAAATCAAACATGAGCAAACCATCAGTCATATTAGGTTCGTTTTGTTGGTATAAATTATGTGATTCTGCTGTTTTGTTTTCTTTCATTTGTAAATTATTTTAGCTTAGTCATTATTGATAAGTATGAAACGTTTACATACCTGGATATCTATTTGTAGATATGTAAGTAACACTGTAAAAAAGCATGTTAACTCTCCAAGGTAAAAAGCAGTCTGCTGCACAATGCAGCTCCATCGTATCCCATGTATCCATCAGGCCAGCTTGTCCCTGGGCCAGCCAGCACTGCCATGCCTTCTCAGCACTCTGTATGTCAGTACACAGTCCTCCTTCCAAAACAGCCAGGTTGACCACGCAGGCTATCTCCTCATGAGTCTGAGCATCTGTAGTTCCCCAGCTCCGATTCTTTACTTGGGAATAAATATTAGGGGAAACGTATCTAACTAGTGATATTGATTGTATAATTTCCCTAAGTAGTTCTTTCCTTCCCATAAACTAGGATAAACTAGGAAAGCTAAATACCATATATGCATGTGAAACCCTCTGCGCCTCTTCTACTGGCCTTAACCCTTAGGTTTCTATCTAAATACACACCTGTGGGCTCCCAAGATGTGCCCAGCGTGTGGGTAGTGGGACACTGAAGCAGTTTTAGAACAAAAGAGGCGGCCTTAGAGGGCGCTGCACTGACTGTGAAGCCTCCTATCAGTTGTCAATAACACTTTTCTTCAGTGAAAGTGAACAAAAAGGAAAAAATTAAATCCAAGCAAAAAGGATATCCTGCTCTGGAGTTTAGCTGGCTATTTGGCTTATTAATGCCAAAGTCCTGGTTTGGTAACATAACTTGATTCTTTTCTGACCTTTGTGACAACATATCCACAAATAATTCATACAACATGCTGAATCTTTCCAATAAGTGTTTTCAGTACTTTCAGTTCAGTTCTTTGGATTTCTGCTTCTAAATCTTAACATGCTAATCATCAGCTGAGTAAAGAAATCTAAATATGCTAACCCACAGTCTCCAAAGGCAGTTGCTTTTGTGTAAACTTTTTAGTTTAAGCTGTTATTTGGTCATTGTAAATTATCCTCTGTAGCTATTGGACTAATGCTTTTCAGATACTTAAAAGTTTAAAAACTAGTCAGATCGGGTCTCTAAACTTAAGGAACGGAACCATCCTTTTAGAACTCTATGGTTCAGTAAGTAGTCAAGTTCAGTGTTGATCCTTCCAAGAAGCTGGTGAAGATGGTGGGCAGTTGGCAAGCTCAAGAAGTTGTCTTTGTGATGTTAACAGAATCGCCTACCAGCGGAACGACGATGATGAGGAAGAGGCCGCCCGGGAACGGCGCCGCCGTGCCCGGCAGGAAAGGCTGCGGCAGAAGCAAGAGGAAGAATCCTTCGGACAGGTGACTGACCAAGTGGAGGTCAATACCCAGAACAGGTACTGTCCTCTTCAGAAGGGAGAATTTTTCCAGGTGCTTCTTAGCCTGTCTGATGAAAGGAATGTGTTGGGCAAAGCATCCCCTTCTCGGCCCAATTCAACTCTTTCCGTCTTTCTAGCTTGTTTAATTCTTCTGTGGACATTTTAGGCAACTAACCAGATTGGACAGTCAATCTGATTTAGACATTAGGACACCAGTACTCCTTTCTCCCCCCCCCCCCCCCCCCCCCTCCCACCCCCTAAACACATCCCAGTTGAAGGATTTTCTATTCTTTTGTAATCTAGTAAATTTTTTGTTTACTAAAAATCGTGGGTTATATGCTTAAATAAGGAAAACTATTTACCTTCATTCTTTAGGGTATTGTTATCTGTTTTGAACTGAAGATGTATTCATTTAATAGTCCTCTGTACCTACCAGTAGCAGATAATACTTGAATTTTAGAAGTAGGCATGAATTGCAAATGTCTTATTTTTCCTGATATACACCCTAAACCAGTATCCTTTGATCTCTACCATATTGGACAAGGTGCAGAATCCTGTTTAATTTAATGTAATTATTCAAACAAGCTCATGAGTTTAGTACTACATTTTTTCCTATAGAAAAATTTCCTGGTAGAAATCAGGAAAGTCGAGAATACTTAATAAGTTCAACTTTTTCAAAAGGGGCTTTTACAAGTTCACACATACAAGGTCACACAGTGCATTACGCTAAGAGTTAGTATATATCATTTATATGCCCCCAAGGTATAGAAAAGATGGGGAGGGGGAATGGAGAAAAAAAAATTTTATTTTTAAATTGTGGACTGGTTAAATATAATGCAATCACCACGTAAGACCTTTTGTGTGGCTTTGGTTTTAGATTCTTTCAACTTTGTGTGTGTTGGGAGGGCACTGTATTTGATAATCCCCTTCATTCAATCTGTGTAGAAAATTCTGAAGGGAAAGAGTTTTAGCCTCTTTAACGTGAATTTGAGTGGGTACACAGAGGGTATCTGAAGGCAGTAGTGAACATGCTGGCAGGCAGGATGATTCAATCAGGAAGCTTCTTGGTTAGGTGGAAAAACAGACTTTGTCCCTCGGTAAGTAGCTCCTGATTAGGGAGGGAGTATAGCAAAGAGGTTCTCTGGGGTTCACTACCTGGCTTTGAATCCCAGCTTGACCCTTTCTTCACTAACTGTATTTCTTCAGTCCAATGGAAGTAAAAATCACACCTTTCTTTTAGGAATGTTGTTAAATTTAAATGAGATGATAATACCTGTAAAATGCACAGTGCTTGTGCATAGTAATTTTGACCATTATTAGGAAGATGGTAGCAGAGTCTTACAGATCAGGGCTGCATAGGCCTCACTGCCTTTTCTATTTCTGAGTTGAAGGGGATGGGAAAGAAAGAGTTTAAAAATGACATTTTAAGGCCTGGTTATTAGTGAGTAATCAACAATGCCTTAAGAAATTACTAGTGCCTATAGTTTTCTAGCTTTTAAAATCTTGCTTCTACTTGTGTTTCTCTTCTTTTTTCACATTGTACTATTAGTAGTTATTTCATGCATTGATTGAGTACAAAATTTCTTTTTTTAGTAGTGCATATTCAGATCTGATAACATATGATTTACCTCTGACATACTAATTAGCCCCAAGAAGAATAAGTATTCTTCTTGGGGCTAAACAACTGACTGGTACTCAGCTTCTCCTGTTGATTGCTGTCCTGATTTATAAATAGCAAAGAAAGGTTCAGTAGAGTATGTTGTTTCTTAACTCGAGTTCTTTAAGCCAGCTAGCATTGTGGAATTTGGGGTACCTCTTAAAAATTATTTGAATTCAGTTGATCCAAATGCCTTATGTATATAGATTTTCCCCCTTAAATTCTAAAGTATTTGCATTTTCAGAGAAATTTAATCTTTATGTGTCTAATTCATGGAGGCAGTGTCTTACAGCAACAGCTGAGGCCAAGAAAGTTTAGAATCTAGCCTTTAGTCTGCCATTTCTTGTTGTTAAATGTGAAATATGTTTTTCCAAAATTAAGTGAACTTGAACTTCAAAAGGACCAAGGTTGGTATGAACCATGAAATTTGATGGAGTTTCTAAACATTGCAAGACATGTTCTTCCAACTCTGGTCACAGTCCTAGTATCACATGACTGGTTGTTTCCTGCAGTGAAGACCAACACCCCTGGCATGGGCAGTGTCCAGCATCCTGCAATAGTGAGCACAGTGGTGGACATGCTACAGTTTGGCTTTTAGAGATTTTTTCTTTTTTTATAAACATCAAATTTAACTGTCTTTTGTCTACTGCAGAAAAGAAGGGCAAGAGACCCTTTATTCATGGAAATCTTGACAAAGAATGGAGATGGTATATTTATTAGTTAGGGCAACATCAGCTGCTTTAACAATGAGTCCCCAAATTTTAGTAGTTTGATGCAGTAACACATACTAGCCCAGCGTGGGTATTTCTGACGGTAGAACTGCTTCCCTATCTTCTTTCCTCCTGTGACTCTGTCACCTTCAGGGGCTTTGGAGTCCTCTGATCTAGCCAGTAGACAGAGATAGAAAGGGAAGAGAATGTACCTCTGCTTCTTACTTGTCCTGGTCTGGACATCTCACTTCTGCTCACATTTCATTGGAATTATTGGTCATGGGGCCCCACCTAGGTGCGAGGAAGAGGGGAGGGTGGGAAATATAATCCTTGACAGGCAATCACTTCCCTGTGACTAAGGAAAGAGGAGCATAAATTGTGGTGGACAGTTAGATGTCTCCACCATGGGGGTCACTGGCCTGAGTATAGCATCTCCGCACTATAACGTACACTGCCATCCTCTCAAAGTGCTTAGTGTTCCAGCAATCCAGATCAGGAATTCCAGATGACTTGGCAACATGTGGGAATACTACTTGATACAAGAGGAATTCGTTTTTTCAGTTTGGTTCTTGACTTAGTTTGAGTTCCCTGAAAGTCAGATTCTGAAACAAAGATTTGAGCACAGTTTTCTTGTAACGTGATCCCAGGAAAAAGTGTAGCAGTGTGGGAAAGTGAGACAGAGAAGGGAAGGCAACCAAATAAAGGTTTCATTACCAAGCAAGGTAATTACCAAGGTAATTTACCAAGCAAATTACCACTGTGGGTATCAGGAGCTTAATTCCACCAGGGAACTCTAAGATCCACTGTGGTATAGGCACCTCAGCGCTATCTGATACCAAAGGTGAGGGGAGCTGAGGTATTTACACATTAATGCTCATCAATTGTTGCTTGAGGCAAAATGCCCAGGTGGCATTAATACTCAGAGCACTTCTAGTATGCAGAATAGATTCCCCATGGCCAGACAGAGACCATGGGCAAAGATTTGCATATGCTGCCAGTTGAAAGCCAGGCAGGAATGTACTAATATGGGGTTATATATGGGGAGATGTGTATATCTGCATGTTCCCATGGGGCACAGCACATGAGTCCAGCTGACCGATTAATCAGCAAGCTGTCCCTGCTGTTGTTTCTGTTGTCCAGTGTGCCCGACGAGGAGGTCAAGACGACCACCACAGACACTCAGGTGGAGGCGGACGATGAGGCTGCACTCCTGGAGCGCCTGGCCCGGCGGGAGGAAAGACGCCAGAAACGCCTTCAGGAAGCACTGGAGCGCCAAAAGGATTCTGACCCAACAATAGCAGATGCAAGTTTGTTGCTACCCAGCAGAAGAATGCAAAACAACACAGCAGAAAATGAAATGGCAGAGAAGGAAGAAAAAAGCGAAAGTCGCCGAGAAAGATACGAGATGGAGGAAACAGAAACGGTCACCAAGTCCCACCAGAAGAATGACTGGATGGATGCTGAAGAGGACAAGGAAGAAAAGGGAAAGGAGGAGGAAGAAGAGCAGCCAAAGCAAGGGCGCATTGAAGAAACTCAGGTAGAGGTGGTGGCAGAAGAGAAAGCAGCAGAAACCCAGGAGGAAACAGTAATGTCACTGAAAAATGGGCACATCGGTACAGATGAGCCTAAGACAGAAGAGGAGAGGGAAGAAGGCTCGCATGAGATTCCCCATAATGAAAAGATGGAACAGGAAGCGAGGGAAAGAGC